CTAATTGATCACTGAAACATAAATATTTCATGTAATTAATGTGCTCTGTCTAAATGCTGATATGAGTAAAGTTGTTCTACATATGAACTGGAGAATGCATGATAGAAACAATCCTAATAAGTGAGGTATGGAAAAGATGCCTTAGACTTTTCCAGCTCTCATTACTGGGACAGAGTGAGATACAGCTGTGAACATAACTGTTTAATGTAACACATTTGAAGATCCTAATCAGCCATTCCATGTGTGCTCTGGGTTTGCCTCAAAGAGATGACAGTAGAAGTCGGGGATGCAAGATCTGTAATCGTGATGTTACTGCCATTCCTTTAACAGAGAAATTAAACAACTTGTTGACTTAAGTAATGATTTAACTAGTTTAGAGACAGCCATGCTATTTTTGAAGGAGAAGTTACGCAAGTTTCATCCTCACTGCTGAACATAGTAAAGTAAATACTACAAATGAGCTTAAACAAATAAAATATGCAATCAAATCAACCTTGGAATGAGGGTCAGAACATACCTGTGTCAATGTGATGGGCAGAGAACTGAGCTCTTCTCCATGGTGTGCCCAGTGTAAGCACAAAAGGCAATGGCCACAAACTGAAATACAGGGAATTCTGTTTAAATGTAAGAGAAATCTTGCATTAAAAAAGCACCAGTTTGCCCTTCTCACCTCATTTGGTGCAGTAGGATTGGGCTGCTACTGGAGAGGTCACTGGCACCTGGCTCCCCTGTCCTTGTAGAGGGGCTCATTCTTCCTGCTCCTAGACTTGATTCCAACTCAGTAGAAGTGAAAGAAAATAATGTTCAGAAAGTGTCGTTTTCCTGACCTGTTTTTTGGTTGGTTGGTTGGTTGGTTTTTGTTTGCTTTTGTTTGGAGTTTTGTTTGTTTGTGGGTTTTATTTGATTATTTTTTTCATGGTATTATGCCCAGAAGGAGAGTTGTTTTGTTTTAACTGAAGAGTTGGGTGTGGGAAATGAAATCAAGTGTTTTAGGAACAGTTTGGAGTGGGGATTAGAGGCAGCAACTTGTGGGTCTGGAAAGTGGAACGATGAAGCTGGTGAACAAGAGTCATGCTGTTTTTCTTAGAGACTTACTGATGTAAACTTCACCTTTGTGTAATGTTTCTTTTGGTTTGTATGCAAAGAGAGATTTTTAGTGGACCCTAAAATTCTATGAGAAAGTAATAACAAGTCTAGCACCCTTTTAACAGGTCAGCTACATAAGAAAGTGAACAAAGTGCATAGAAATGTGGTAGAGGAGAAAAAGGTTGGGAAAAAAGAACCATAAAAGCAGTTGATGGCAGAGGGGGGAAAAAATCAACAGCCTATGACAGTCATGTGAAAAGAATAGTGGTTTTTTTCTTACTTCACTGAGGGTGCATGTTTAGTCTTAACTGCTACTTTCATGCCATTTTTGCAGCTAGATGAGAACCTAAATGTGAACAGGTAAAGGTGGCTGCAAGAGAAACTACTCATCATTGTAATTTTGAGCAATGCTACTTCTTTAATTACTTCTGGATCCTGGCAGTGGCCTTCCTGGGATGATGCCATTCCACCAATGCAGCATTACCAAAACACAGGTTTCGGTTATCCCATCAAAATATAATCCACTTTGCTCTGCCAGGTTTAGTGGTGACACTCTGAGAACTTATTGTCTCAAGCACTTTATTCCTTACGAGATCACCCCATGCTAAATTGATCTTCAATGACTTACTAAGGCAGATAAAAATTAGGAACTTTGATCCTTATCTGTTCTATTACAGTCCTTTCCTTTCTTTATATTATATTATCTTCAAGAGCATAGTTAGTTGCAATATATTCTGAGGTGTGTGATCTGAACATGGAGATGGTTAAAGAGTACTGCAGAAACTTGGTTGCATGGAATTTTAGGATTTGGACATGGATACTGATGGAGCAAACCAGATTTTGCTCTCATTTATCGAAGATGAATTTTTTTGTATGGAGAGCTAGCCATAGGTATTTATACAGGGAATTAAAACCTTGTCTTTCTGCCAGGATATTCTATTATGTGAACTCCTTTGCAAATAATTGCAAAGTCTGAATTCTAAAATTTCAAAGCAGGAGGAGTATTTAAATACAAAAAATAAGGGTACATTCTTCTCTTTGTGTGCTGGTGTGCACACTTATGTACCTTACAGAGAAGTGCAGTACTTCAGAGCTTTGGAACTCCCAAAGCAAGAAAACAATTCCAAGATGTGGTCTGGCATGATGCAAACTATCTCTAAAAAATAGTTTTTGAAATATGCTGGAAGTATTTGTTATTGCTTGTTATTTCTGCTGGGCAAAGGACATGAATCTGCATGTAGTTTGAAAATACTTCTGGGACATTTACTGAATCCCCTTGATAAGCAGATAAGAACAGCCAAATTTCATTGTATCTGCAAGCCCAGTTATTATTGGAGATAATGTTCCCAAGGTGAAGGGAGCACAGTTAAATACACTGTCTGCCCACACACTGTGGACAGGACACGGTATGAATGGAATGAAAGTCTCAAGGGCAGTTGATTGAACATTAGGAAAAGGTTATTTACTGAGAGGGTGGTTGGTCACTGGAACAGGCTCCCCAGGGAAGTCGTCACGACACCAAGCCTATCAGGGTTCAAGGAGTGCTTGGACAATGCCCTGAGCCACCCCAGTGGTTGGGGTTTAGGTAGTCCTGTGAGGAGCAGAGATTTGGGCTTGATAATCTCCATGAGTATCTTCCAACTCAATAAATTCTTTGATTCTAGCACTGTCTCCTGCTTTTACCCTGAAATCCATGTTCCCTCCTGCAACATGATGCAAATAAAGACAGTGGTTATCCTTCACCAAGAGATCATTCTACTTATACGTGCATATCAGTGAAACACCTGCCAAGAGAAAGAATGGAGCAGAGCAAATGCAAGTTATTATTTATTATTAGTAATCTTACCTACCACGTGTAGAATGTTTAATTGAAAAAGTGTTACACGTGTTCTGTGCACAAACATGCGTTCCCATGCTTGGGAGGGTACAGGGAGAGGAGGGTTAGGAGTTATTGTCCTGCCACAGGACTCTGAGCCACGGGTGCCCTCTTTCCACAAAACATGCTCTGTCATTAATGACAGCCACGATAGCTGATCTTAATGTGCCTTCGAGCTGCAATTCTGTCCCACAGCTCTGTGGTGTGGGCTGGGGGAGCGCTTTCCTGGCATTCTGCTTCCTGGAGGATAGAAATGCATTTGGTTTGAAGTAAGCTTTATCTTTGTATGTATAACCAATGTATCAATACAAATATCTGGTTTTGTCATGATGAACTATAGTGTGAAGCGGAGGAAAGAATGTGGTGATAATATAGGTTATTGTTATAGGTTGGATTGCCTTTCCTTCTGATTTTTTGTGTTTTACCAGCTAGACTCTGCTCCTACATTAGAAATTGTCATCTTGTGTTTGGTAAATACCTTTGAACAATGCTCTGTTTTACCATGTTATCTGTAGGATAACGTGAGAAGGTGGCTTGCAGTGCTTCCTGTTGCCCTTTCTGGGTTTTCCATGTTTTTCTGTAATTGTTTCAAAGGAATTTTTCACCTTCTTATCAGCTAAATGCTCATCTCAAATAATAGTATAGCCATCATCTACCTGGCAACAACTTCGTAATGCAGATGCATTACAAAAAGCCTACCAATTATTTGTTCCTTGTTTGGACTTACCCAAATCTAAACGAGACTCTAATTTTTTTATTGAATTTTAACCTTAAAGAGTAGGTGTGAACACTGCCGTGGCACTTTCACCTCTGACCAGCTGGGGACCAGCCTGCTCGGGTAGGGCAGTGCCAGCAAAGGGCTAATTAAAGCCCCACTGCCCTGCACGGGATGCCCGGGGTCACCATCATTAACAGCGGCAGGGAAAAACAAACCGAGCCCCCAAAAGCAGCACCGCGGCCCTGCAGACGAACGGAGGGCGGGCTCGCCCCCGCAGAGGGCAGCATTGAGCAGGGGATGTGCCCGCACGGCTCCCGCACCGCCAGAGCCCAGACCCGGCGCGGCCGCTCCCGCTGCGCGCTCGGTCCGGTCCGGTCCGGCACAGAAAGAAGGGCCCGGGGACACGCGGGAATTGCCGCGTGGTCGGGGGGAGCTGTGCGGGGATCCGGCCGCGGCTCCCGGGCAGCGGGACGAGCCGCGGCCTGGCGGGGCGGGCACGGCCCCGCTCTGCCCGCAGCGGCTCCGCGCCCGGAGCTGCCCCGCCGGGGGCTGCGGGCGGGCGGGCACAGCTCCCCACCCGGCCGGCCGAGCCGCCAGAGTGCGGAGGCCGCGGGCGGCGGGTATAAATAACACGGCGCTGAATGGCGTCTACGCCTCCTTTACTACGCGCCGCGCCCCAGCCCGGCCGTGACGGACGGGCCGCGGCACCAATGGGGGCGCGCTGGCGGCGGCCCCGCGGCCGCGCCGAGGGAGGGCAGGGCGGAGGGCGGGGCGGCGGCGCTGGCCGGGAGCCCGGCGGCGGCTCCGGGGATGGTCCACGCACTGGCGCCGTCACGTGTTGTGCTGCTCGCAGCGAGCCCGAGCCGCGGCGGCGGGCGGAGGGGGCTGGACCGGCGAGCGCGGCCCCCGCCGCCTGTTTTGGTGCGGGGCGCCGGGAAACTCCGCCGAGAAGCCGGCGGAGAAGGAGCGGCCGCGGCGGTGCCCGCTCGCCCGCCGGGCTGGGGCACGGGAGGGGGCCGCGCCGCCGGCCGCTGAGGCGCTACCGCCTGGAATGAAGAGGAGGAGGAGGAAGAGAGAGGATGTTCCTTCGGCACTCGGGCTGCCTCCCCTCCCGCCGCTGCCGGGCTGCGCCGCGTGTGGAAATGGCACTTTCTCTGCCTAACGAGATGGGACTGAATGGGGTCGCCAGCCTCCTCCGCACGCACGAGCGGGAGCAGCAGCCTCGGCGCTGATATTTGGGGGAGGTTGTGTTGGGGGCGCTTTTTTTTTTTTTTTTTTAATTTTTATTTGTTTGTTTTCTCTTTTTTGGGGGGAGGGCGACAGGGGGGAAAGCAGCGTGTATTTTTTTGGGTGCAAACCCCGGACTTTGCAAAACAATCTCCGCCCCCGAGAGGATATTTAATCTGCAACAGAGATCGCTGCTCGCGGAGGCAAACTTGAGCCGGGGAAGGGGAGCAGGGAGCGGAGCAAGGGGACCCCCGCCCCGCTCCCGGCCCCGCCGGAGCCCGAACCCTGCAAGGGAAGATGCGTCTCTCCCGGCAGCTGCTCCTGGGACAAGACTTTCGTCTGGACTGATCGAGGCTGGACTTTTTAAGGACGAGCTTACCCATCTAAGGGCGATTTGGGCATAAACAGCAACACAAACTCTGATTTGGTGCTGGAAGCTGCCTCGGCCACTGAACAGCTGCTCTCGCCCTGCTTCTGTCCCTCCCCCGTCCTGTTCTCGAAAGAGGATCCTGAGCTATTTTGCCGTGGATTTTTTTAAATTTTTTTTTTAATTGTTGTTGCATGAATTTTATTTTAGGTGGTTGCCTTTTACGGCTGGCTTGTCTGTTTTGGGGTCTTGCAGACTGCACGCTGCAGTAGCAGCTCCACCGCCTCTCGTCATGGCTAGCCCCACGGATAATAACGAGGGCTTCTTCTCAGATGTCAGAAAGGTGGGTTACTTGCGCAAACCCAAGAGCATGCATAAACGATTTTTCGTGCTGAGGGCAGCCAGTGAGTCTGGACCCGCCCGGCTGGAGTATTACGAGAATGAGAAGAAATGGAGACACAAGTCAGGGGCCCCCAAGCGCTCTATCCCACTAGAAAGCTGCTTCAACATCAACAAACGGGCTGACTCCAAGAACAAGCACCTGGTGGCCCTCTACACCAAGGACGAGCACTTTGCCATTGCAGCTGACAGCGAGCCTGAACAGGAGAGCTGGTACCAAGCGCTGCTGCAGTTGCACAACAGGGCCAAGGGCCACCACCACCTCCATCACCATCACCACCACCACCACAGCGATGTCACCTTTGGAGGCAGCAGCGTGGGACTGGGGGAAGCAGGTGAGGACAGCTATGGCGAGGTAGCCCCTGGCCCAGCTTTTAAGGAAGTTTGGCAAGTAATTCTGAAGCCCAAGGGCCTAGGCCAGACAAAGAACCTGATTGGCATCTACCGCCTGTGCCTGACTAACAAGACCATCAGCTTTGTGAAGCTGAATTCAGATGCGGCTGCTGTGGTGCTGCAGCTGCTCAATATCCGCCGCTGTGGTCACTCTGAGAACTTCTTCTTCATTGAGGTGGGACGCTCAGCTGTCACTGGGCCCGGTGAGTTCTGGATGCAAGTGGATGACTCAGTGGTGGCGCAGAACATGCATGAAACTATCCTGGAGGCCATGCGAGCCATGAGTGAGGAATTCCGGCCCCGCAGCAAGAGCCAGTCCTCCTCAAACTGTTCCAACCCCATCTCTGTGCCCCTTCGTAGCAGGCACCACGTCAACAACCCTCCACCTAGCCAAGTGGGCCTCAGTCGGCGGTCCAGGACCGAGAGCGTCACGGCCACTTCTCCTGCTGGTGGTGGAGGTACGGGTGGCAAACCCAGCTCTTTCCGGGTTAGAGCGTCGAGCGATGGGGAAGGCACAATGTCAAGACCTGCCTCTGTGGATGGTAGCCCAGTTAGTCCCAGTGCTAACCGGACTCATTCGCATAGACACCGTGGCAACTCCAGGCTCCATCCTCCACTCAACCACAGCCGGTCCATCCCAATGCCTTCCTCGCGCTGCTCTCCTTCAGCCACCAGTCCAGTCAGCCTGTCATCCAGCAGCACGAGTGGCCACGGCTCCACCTCAGACTGCCTGTTTCCACGAAGGTCCAGTGCTTCGGTTTCCGGCTCCCCTAGCGATGGTGGATTTATTTCTTCTGACGAGTACGGTTCCAGCCCATGTGACTTTCGCAGCTCTTTCCGCAGTGTGACCCCCGATTCTTTGGGACACACCCCACCAGCCCGGGGCGACGAAGACCTCAACTACATCTGTATGGGGGGGAAGGCCACCTCCTCTTGCTGCAGCTTGGCAGCCCCCAATGGCCACTTCATCCCACGCACCTGCCACCCACAGCAGCAGCCCCGCTATCCTAGTACACCCTGCTGTCCTCGAGGTGGTAGCGAGGAGGTTGCCGACTTGGAGAAGGCATTCAGGAAGCGGACTCACTCTGCAGGCACTTCGCCCACCATCTCCCACCAGAAGACACCCTCACAGTCTTCAGTGGCCTCCATTGAAGAGTACACGGAGATGCTGCCTTCTTACCCCTGTGGCAGCAGCCGGCTGCCCTCCTACCGCCACTCAGCCTTTGTGCCCACTCACTCTTACCCAGAGGAGTGCCTGGAGATGCACCACCTGGACAGTGGCCATCATCGGACCAACTCCGCCCCTCACACGGATGATGGCTACATGCCCATGTCACCGGGTGTAGCCCCTGTGCCCAGCGGTGGGGCGCCCCCCAAGGGTGGTGACTATATGCCCATGAGCCCTAAAAGTGTGTCGGCTCCGCAGCAGATCATCAACCCTGGCAGGGGGGGCCGCCACCCTCCAGCCACCGTGGACTCCAACGGCTACATGATGATGTCCCCCAGCGGCAGCTACTCCCCCGACAGCAGCTCTGCAGGATACGGCAAGATTTGGACAAACGGTGCCGGCCACCACCCGAAACTTTCGGTGGAGAGCAACGAAGGGAAGCTCCCCTGCGGCGGCAGCGACTACATCAACATGTCCCCAGCCAGCGGCTCCACCACCAGCACCCCGCCTGACTGCTACTTCGGGGGTGCGGGGCAGCCGGGCGTGGAGGAGGCGGCCACCGCAGCGCACCACAAACCCATCTACTCCTACTTCTCGCTGCCGCGCTCCTTTAAGCACGTGCACCGGCGGGGCGGCGGCAGGGTGGCCGAGGAGGGCAGCCCCCAGCCCCGCATCGCGCTCGGCTCCAGCCGCCTCCTCTACGCCGCCGAGGACTCGTCCTCGTCCACCAGCAGCGACAGCCTGGGCGGCGGCGGCGGCCCCGAGGGCGGCCCCCCCCCGCAAGCGCAGCCCCCGCGCAAGGTGGACACGGCCGTGCAGACCAAGGGCCGCCTGGCGCGGCCCACGCGGCTGTCGCTGGGCGGCCCCAAGGCCAGCACCCTGCCCCGGGCCCGCGAGCAGCCCCCGCTGCTGCTGCCGCCGGAGCCCAAGAGCCCGGGCGAGTACGTCAACATCGAGTTCATCGCGGGCGAGAAGCCGCCCTTCCCCTCGGGCGCCCTGGGCATGGCCCTGCCGCCGCCGGGCGGCGAGGCGGCCGAGGAGTACATGAACATGGAGCCGGGCCCCCCGCGGGCTCCCTGCCCGCCCGGCTTCGCCGCGGCGCGGGCGGCCCGGCCCGGCCGGGACTACGTGGCGGTGCAGCGGGGGGGCACCGCGGCCGCCGGGGGCTCCTGCTCGGACTGCGCCGACAGCTCGTCCCCTGGCTCGCCCGCCCGCCCGCTCAGCTACGCCGAGGTGCGGGGGGGCCGCGCCGCCCCCGAGAAGCCCCCGCCGGCGGCGGCCACCGCGCCGTCCCCGGAGCTGCCGCGGCCGCCGGCCGAGCTGTCGGCGGCGCCGCCGCGCTCCTCCTCCCTGCTGGGGGGCCTGGGCGCGGGCAGCGCCTTCACCCGCGTCAGCCTCAGCCCCGGCCGCAACCAGAGCGCCAAGGTGATCCGCGCCGACCCGCAGGGCGGCCGGCGGCGGCACAGCTCCGAGACCTTCTCGTCCACGCCGAGCGCCGCCCGCGGGGCGCCGGGCGGGCTCGGGGCGCCCTTCCCGTGCGGCGGCGCGGGGAGCACCGAGGAGGTGAAGCGGCACAGCTCGGCCTCCTTCGAGAACGTGTGGCTGCGGCCCGGCGCGGGGGAGGCGGCCGCCCGCAGGGAGCCGGGGGGCGCGCCCGCCCTGGAGAACGGGCTCAACTACATCGACCTGGACTTGGTGAGGGACTGCGGCCACCGCCGCCACCACCACCCGCACGGCCCTGCCGAGGCGAAGCAGCCGCTGCCGCCCAAGCCCCCGGGGCAGCCGCGAGGGAGCGGCCACTGCGGCGAGGACCTGAGCGCGTACGCCAGCATCAGCTTCCAGAAGCGGGAGGAGATGTAGGAGCCGGGCGCCTGCCGGGGAAGGTGAGCCGGGACGAGCCGTGGCTCCCTTCAGGGAGTTGATCAGCCCCGGGGGGTGCTGCGGGAGTGCCACGCGTTGGGTTGTTTTCGTTGTGCCTTTTGGCCTCCCCGCAGCGTGTTTTGGTGTCAAAAGCGACCAGAAGCCCGGCATCCCTGCGGGTGTCCAGCTGCTGGCCCGCACCTGCGTGGGCCAGCGGTGCTTCCAAAGCACGCTTGGATGCTCCTGTTCAGCTGGGGATACAATGCCGTGCGGATCGTGTTGCCGCGTTTCTTTACTTTTCAGAAATTAGATGTGCTTCCAAAGTGTGCGGGTGTGAAAGCGAGTTACCTCTGGTTTTGGTCTGGAAACAGGAATCTCCCGTTGTAATCCTAGTTTGGCCAGTAATCACGCTTGTGGCCATGGGTAAAGCAGCGAACCGTGCCAGCACGTGTTCTCCCGTGTGCAGAACACGACTAGCAGCATCTACCTCGCGGGGCCGTGACCAGTTTTAATTCACTTTTGTTGGAAGGTGCTGTGAATTTGAAAACAGCCTTCAAAGTCTTCAGAGCATTGCATCTGTCACTTGTGTTTCAGTCGATAGTAAGTGTGGCTGTCCCACACCCACCACAGTGTTACAAACAGCATAAGAAGTGGGCCTTAAGAACAGTGTCCTTGGCATTGACTGATGTGTTCTGTTTCTTCCTGAAGCTTTTAATTTTTAATTCGGGAAAAACTTCTGTCAGGCTGTTGCACGTTGATTACAGATGTGTAAGATGAGTAGGAGCATTGTTGCAAGCAGTGTGATGTTTCTGTTGGGTGGGAGCTTTATGCAGCACATAACAAATGTATCTTGTTTCGAGCACAGAAAGTGCAGTGCACCTGTGTGAGCCTTTTTGTGAGAAGGGTGAAGAGTGCTTTCACCTTCAGCAGCCGACCAGCACCAGCGGATAGTTATCTAGTTAATCTTGTCACTCGATTTGAGCGAGTGATTGAGGTTTACTACATGCTCAAGCAGCAGCAATCACGGTAGCTTAAGTAGTTACTATGAATACGTGCAGTGACATTGGGGAGATGAATCTCTTACCACTGTTTACATCGTAAGTTTAATAACCTTACTGTTTGTATTGCTTGTTCACTCTGCTCTGCACCACCGAGGGCTGGTGTTGGTACCAAGCCTGGGATTCTATGTTCACCATCTTTAAACGTTGTCCAACCTTATAACCTGAACAAAAGCAAAACAATCTCTTCACATTTGCTACTTAGCACTTGCTGCTGTTGCCCGTTAGAGCAGTGCAGTATTAGGTGTTAGTCTTAGGTGATTACCAGGTCAGTTTCAAAGTTCAGGGTAAGTGCAAATATTGATGGTCTGGTTGAAATGGTAACTGGTAGGAAATGATTATTTTTGTGGCCATGTGATAGGAGTGTGCTGACTGTCACCATGCGTTGCTTGTGGCCAAATGTATACAAACCTACACAGCCACAGCTTTTCTCTGTGCTGGAATGCGCTTGCAAGAACCCATCTAGGCTGTTTTTGAGCTGCCTTACTTTGGTAATTCATATCTGTTTAGGAGAGTGTTGGTGTTCTGAACTCTTCAGGAGGGAATTTGCCAGAGGGTGCAGCAAGTTGTGCAGTAAATAACTTTGGTGGGAGCATCACTGTTCCCTCCTGCTTGTGCTGTGCTGAGGCTGGGGGACAAGTCTGTGTGCAGGGCTGTGAGAAGGCAGGTATGGGGGGGAACAGTGCCATAACTGTTTGCTTCCACAGTTTCTTTTCCCAATTACACTGCTTTCCTTTTGTTTTGGAGAACCTACTTAATTGAACCACGTGTCATCTTTAATATAAAAGCTGTGGCAGTGTTCTCCATGGTGGTGGTAGATAGGTGCCTACTGTGATTGTGCTGTTCAGTGAAAGATTGGGATGTGGAAAACCTAGTATAAGAATCGGCTGAAAAATACCATGCAGATGTTTTTCAGGGCAGCACTGTAAAAAGAAGTGTGTAATAGAGTAATTGCTGTTTGAAGTTGGTTCTTATTTCCCAAAATTAGGATTGGACCGAGCAAGCACAGCTTCTTCTGGGAGGCAGGGAAGGAATCAGGTTGTAATTATATGGGGAGTTTGTAGCCATGGCTGTTCCCTTTCCCTTCCCACTATAAAGCTGTGTTAGTTGCTTGTAGCTTTCTCAGACATTAACCCTTTAGACTCTTATTTCCCAGATTTCTTGCCGTGAACTGAAACTTTCCTTGCAACATCCAGCCCAACTAGCCCATCTGTTGAGCATGTTAAGGGAAGAAACCCAATGATGTTTTGGCTGTGTTGAACAAACAGCTGTTTTTACAGGTGTTTTTTGACCTGTCCTTGTATTTTTTGCTTTGGAGGTGAAACTTAGTTTTGCCAGGGGAGTCGGCCCACATAGGTTATACCTTGGGAAAACGTGCCTGGAGGTGTGTGATGCACAGCACTGCAAGCAGTCAGTTTGCACATGCCTGAAAAAGTTGCTGAGCACCTTCAGCCAAACCCCTGAAGACTCCAGGTGCAGTAGGGGTGCTCCAGTTTCCCAAAAGCTTTGCCTGCTCTTCCCAGCAAGCAGCCAGGCTGTCCAGTCTGGGTCAGCTTCCCCTGTGCTCCTCCTGCCAGGTGAGGCTGTTTGGCTGAGGGTGGGGAGGTTGTGGTTGTTGCTTCTCCTCTTGGTGTCAGAGCAGTGTGAAAGAGGAAGGGAAAGGTACTCGCTGTGTTTGCAGGTACAGCTGAGAGGTGAAAACATCTGGAGCTGGGAAGGGAAGATGAAACTGCAGGGATGGGGAAGGCTGCACTACATACCCTTTCTTTACTCTCTGTCTCTTTCGTGGGTTTTTCTGTACATTTTTAATCTCAGAATTGGCAGAGGGACTCCACATGCTCTTTTTTATTTCTCCTGTCCATAGAGCAGCCTTCCATCCCATCCCAAAGGCCAAAACTGTGTGGATAACTCTTGTGTTATCCATTGTGGAATTTTCTGGTTTTGCAGTCCACAAGACAAGGACCCCAAATGTTGGCTGCTTTACTGCAAGCTAGCTAACTCCTTTCCCATTCCCTGCTCCCCTGTCCTTCCCTGCCAGCTGCCTCAAAGTTCTTCAGGCATTAGATTCTGGAGTATTTTTAACCTCTTTCAAGTGTAGTTGTTCCTCCTAACATTAAGGATACTGGCTGAAATAATCATGTTGTTTCCCAAATTTAATTGAAAACCATTTGTCTTGCACCCACAGCATTCCTCTGCACTCTCCAATCCCATTGCCTTCCCTGTCATAAATTCTTGGCTGTTTCCAAACAGCTGGCCCTGCCCTGGCTCTCTTCTCCCATCCTATTAAAAGTGCAGCAGTTTCAATGCAGTTCTGAATGCTCTCCTGACCAAACATTTACCTCTCCTTCAGACAGCTGGGTACTGTTACGTGTGTCTGGCCTAGCTGGTGACTCTTTGGTGCTTGGATCCTCTGATGAGTGGACTTTTATGCTGTAGCTGGAAGGCCACGTTGCTGCAGTCGCCAGGTCATGCTGGGAAACAGCAGCCTGTGACAGGGGGAAGGGGAGGGGAAAGAGCCCTGCAGCCCTAAGAGGTGTTTTCCTCCTGCTTAGGGTTTTGGATGCCTGGATGTGGTGGGCTGGACGCCACGTGCCCTCCAAAGCCACTGTATCACTCTCCTCCTCAGCTGGGCAGGGGAGAGAAAATACAATAAAAAGCTCAGGAGTCTCGTGAGATAAGGGCAGGGAGAGATCACTCACCACTTACCGTCATGGGCAAAACAGACTGGACTTGAAGAAATCAATTTTATTACCAGTCAAATCAGAGTAGGAGAATAGGAAATAAAAACTGAATCTTCAAATGCCTTCCCCCCACCCCTCCCTTTGTCCTGGGCTTAACTTCACTCCCCATTTCTCTGTCTCCTTCCCCCAGCAGCACAGGGGTATGTGAATGGGGGTTTTGATCAGTTCATCACACTCCTCGGGGGGAGAACTCCTCACACTCCTTCCCTGCTGCAGTGTGGGGTCCTTCCCATGGGACACAGTCCTCCAAAAACTTTTCCAGTGTGAGTCCTTCCTGTGGGCTGCAGTTCTTCACAAACTGCTCCAGCGTGGGTCTCCCATGGGGTCACAAGTCTTGCCAGGAAATCTGCTCCAGCATGGTCTCCTCTCTGCACAGGCTCACAGGTCCTGCCAGGAGCTCCAGTGTGTGTTTCCCTCAGGGTCACAAACTCCTTAGGGCATCCTCCTGTTCCGGTGTGGAGTCCTCCACAGGCTGCAGGTGGATATCTGCTCTGCCATGGACCTCCATAGGTGCTCCATGTGCCTGGAGCACCTCCTCCTGCTTCTGCACTGACCTTGGGGTCTGCAGTGTGGTTTCACATGTCCAGGTGATCTCACATATCCTCACTCCTCTCTCTCTCTGCAGTTGTGCAATCTTTTTTTCCCTTTCCTAAATACGTTACCCCAGAGGTGCTGCCACTGTCAGTGATGGGCTTGGCCTTGTCCAGCAGCAGGTCCTTCTTGGAGCTGTCTGGCACTGGCTCTGTCAGACATGGGGGAAGCTTCCACTATCTTCCCAAAGAAGCCACCACTGTAGCCCCCCAATACCAAAACCCTGGCACAGAAATGCAGTACTGCAGGTGAGCAGATGTTGTGGATCTGCTGTGGGTCCTGCTTTTGGGATTGCTGTGAGAAGGCTCCTCAGATGAGCTGGGTCTTTGAAGATGAACTGCTGATGGCTGTGTTCTGAGCATGTAGTCAAAAGATATTCCAAAAGAGCAAACCATGAGATGTTTGGCCCTGGAGAAGCAGGAAAGGCTGTAGTAGGATAGTACCACGACTCCAGGTACGTGGCTTTGATCTCTGAAGCTTCAAAGCCTCATTTCCATTTGGTTGATGAGTCTGAGAACTCCTGAAAGTTGAGTGCTAATAACACCGAATAGAATATGTGTAGTGTAAGCAAGTGGTAACTTGGCTCACTTGCAGCTTTGATGGTGCCTGTTTTACCCAGTGCCTGGGTGGGTT